ATGACTTTGCTTCCCTCTTCTTTTCTCAGTTTTATAAGACCATCTCCAACCCAGAGAAATTTGTATCCATTCTCTTTCTTAAACTGCAGTGCTGCTTTGAATAGTTCCTGATTAAGTTTCGTGAGGTCTTTATTGACATAGATTTTTTTATTTTCTGTAAATCCTAGGTCCCTTGTTGTTATGTTGAAAAGGTTTTTCTTTGGATATATAAATTTATCCTTAATACTTTTGCTTGCAAATTCAAGTTTTATTGGTGGTGCAGTACCAATTTCTCTCCTTCCGATCCTGTAGCATTTGATGTCTGTGTGCAAAATGGTTGATTTTCCTGTTGCGGTGCAAATTTTGTTGATCATATTATTCAGGTCCTCTTGCTCGACAATTGGTATTCCACTAAGTATAACATTGTTAGCAAGGCTTTTTTGCTCATAATGGTTTTTTTCCTGGGCCAGCACATTCAGTTGCAACTGAATGTTTTGTATTTCATTTTGCATTTTTCTGTTTACTTCCACTTGTTCTTCATACTTCTTGAAGAGTTTATCGTATTTCTTCTCCTATTGAAGGATCAGAGTGCTCAAAATTGATTGGGTCGTACTCTGGTAGGATCACATTGTCTTCAAAAAAACAAAAGCCGTTGCCATAGCAACTAATTTGTTATATGCCTCCATATTTGACCATTTGTCGTTGTGTCATTAATTAAGTGTCTTGTTTTATTGACTAAAATTACTAAAATGCCTCAAATAAATTCTGAACAAGTAGCAAGAGTAGTTGCGTTAGTAAACGATGGGCGTAGTAAACATTACGCCGCTCCTGCAGTGGGAGTTCATGAAGCAACTGCTCGTAGAGCAATCCGCAAGTACGAACAAACAGGAAGCACCGCTCGGAGGGTCGGTTCTGATCGCCCCCGAAAAACTTCTCCAAGAGATGATCGCTCTTGAGATTGCGGATTTTACGGAATCGATCAAATACTGCGGTAAATGTTCAGCAAGATCTTCGCTAAATTCGTGATGTTGCAGTAAGTAAGCAGACGGTATGTAGACGTCAAAAAGAAGTTAATATAAAAGCTAGGAGACCTGCAAAAGGTCCCAAATTATTCAACAGAATGCGAAAGTTTTAATGGTAGGTCCGTTATGGTGTGGGGAGGGATTTCAATGAATGGAAAGACACCCCTTCATGTTTTTCCGGTGAGGCAGTCGATGAATGCCCAAATTCACATTGACATTTTAGATCAGTATGTCTTACCTTATGCAAAGTTAGTGGGCAATCATTTTATATTGATGCAGGATAATGCCCGACCACACACCGCAGCAATAGTGCGAAACTTCTTAGAAGCTACTGGTATTACCACATTACAATGGCTTGCGAAAAGCCCCGATATGAATCCTATAGAACATTTGTGGGATAAATTAGGGAGAAGAGTGCGTTCTCGCGAGAGGTCTCCGGAAACTCTTGCAGAAATGGCAGATGCATTAGTGGAAGAATGGGATCGTATACCAATGGAAACGATAAGCAACTTAATTTTCAGTATGCCTCGTAGATTAGAAGTTCTTAGAGTTGCTAGAAGAGGCAATCAGGCAATACACGGTATTGAGCAGTCATCCCAATTTATAATTTTGTGTTAAATAAATATGTTTTTTAAAATTATTGGTATCAGTTCATTTCATTAGGAAACTGTTTCTCGATAAATTCAGAAAGTTAATAATCTGCAAGGATTCACCAAAAAAAAAACTGTAATTCGGAAAATTTTAGATATTAATCAATGAATAAAAAAAAAACAAAATGCTCGCAAAAGAAGCCTCTTTCGTATAGGGTGTAAGCACTTTCTATGCCATTACTCAATTAACACACAGGGTGAGTCAAAAATTAAGAATAAATCATGGTTCGAGTTATTCCACCACCATCAAGGAAGCTTTGAAAAAAATGTCACCTCTTTATTTTTTTTAAAGACAAATGCATTACCTACCAACAAATAAAAAAAAATCGGCCTACTATTTTTTGTTTTATTTTAAAGAAGATAGGTCAAATATCAAGTGCGTCACTTTTTTTGGAACTGAGTGTTTTTTCCATGCATTTAACTGGAATATTTGTATTGTCAGCCACAATAATCTCCTTTAGTTAACCTTGAACCACTTCTTCCAGAGTTTCTAATGCTGTGATGTGAGCACTAGCTCCTGAGTCAACATACCATTTTTTTTTCGATTTTTTCTGTTAAATGTCCCATTCAGATAAAATATACTGAATGCATTTTCATTGTTTTCTCTTGAACTTTGACCATTTCTTTGTCGATTCGGACATCTGCTCTTGAAATGACCGAACTGTTTACATACATAACACTGAATGTCATTTCTGATCAGTGTTGTTCATAGGAAAATGTCACGTGTACTAATGTCAGTTGTCAAACTTTACAACTCTGGCGGGAATTGTGCAACTTATTCAAAATAGTAAAACAAAACTGAAATATAATGAACACATATTACAAAAAACATTTTTTTAGGTAGGTACATGGTCACAGGTACATAAATCTATCGATATAGTACAAAAACTGAAAGTTTAACATCAAACCATATCAACTATAACACTTTCTAGAGTAGTTTTATTATAATTCGAAATACTTTTTGTTGGTCTCCATCCCAGTGACGCATTTTCATATGTTTTCAGTTCATCCTTCACATGAAGGATACTAGCACATATTTTTATCAATAGTCTGTTTCTTTGCAAAGATTTGATCAAACTCAACTGTGAAAAAACTCTTTCTGCTGTAGCAGATGAGTGTGGAAGAGCTAAGATTATTTTAACTAACTTCATTAAATTTTGGAAAAGTACTATAATTCCCAGAGCATTATTTGTTTGGGATACTTTTTTCCAAAGTACATTAATATCTTGATTGATAAAGCCCACATCAATTTCGCTCAATAACTGCCATTCCATATTGGCAGCTAATTCTAGTACATAAGATGAAAATAGAATACAATAGAATTGAATTTATTTAGTATTAGGGACAGAACATTACATTTAATACAAGTCAAATACATACAGTAGAATACAAATAATTATAAAAATCAAGAAGCCTCTGAGAGATGTACATAATTTCCTTATCTTTCCTTATTGTGACAAAGGGATATAATTGCTTCATTGATATCCCCTATTTTATAAGGTTCTATTGTGACTAATATTGATATTAAATTTGATAAGTCCAGGAAAACACCATGTGCAACATATCCATTATCTAGGAAATGCATTATTCTTTCTGTGAAAGCAAAAATGGCAGTGATAGTAGATTTCCCTTTTTGAGAACCGTGTTGAATATCTGATGCAATATTGTTTGATACCAAAAATGGAACCAGTCGTCTACTCATCATAATTTCTTCAGATAATTTTGAGAAACTAGATAAAATACTGATTGGCCTATGATTTTCAACTAGGTAAGGGTATCCTTTTTTGAATAGCGGCCTTACAATTGCGATTTTCAACCTAGAAGGAAAGCTACCTCTTCTGAATGATTCATTCAAAATATAAGTCAAAGGATCTAATATGTAGTGACAGATAGTTTTCAGTAAAACATTGTTGATTCCATCATCACCTGCAGAATATTTATTTTTTAAACCCTTAATTACCTCCAGACCTTCCTCTTGATTGTTTCTGTTACAAAAATTGGGTTGTGACATTCCTTTACATGGTCTAGGTTCATATTAGGTTGAGCATTCCCCAAAAGATTGGAGGCTGCAGTGATAAAAAAATTATTGAAGATCTCACACGCTTTGTCTGGTAACGATATAAGTTCGTCATTGAATTTAATTCCTTCGAATGATGGATAGTTCTGTTTAGACTTACCTAGCTCTCTTATTTACAATGAACCATATTGTTTTAGACTTATTGTCTGATTGTGCGATTTCATTACCATATAATTTTTTTTCTCAGAAGCCTGTAGATGATTGTAGTATTCTTTGAATTCCTGTAGTTGATTCTTTGATATTTGATTAAGAAGGTACATTTCTGACAAAAGATTCAAGGTACTTTTTGCCCTCTGAATTGTTTCTGAAATCCACTTCGGTTTATCGATTTGATTTCTCATTTTTTTTAAAGGAAAAGCTATATTGAAAAGTCCTGTAAATATGGTAATGAAATTGTTGTATATTTCATTTAGAGATGATGCTTCATAAACAGGTAGCCAGGTTTCATTATATGTATAAGAATTGGTAAAGTGTTTGATAATTCTCGTGACTGTAAGTACGCCTATATTAAAATTTGTCTTTTAATACCATCTGATCTTCTTCAATACACAAGTACTGGCCATAGTGATCTGATATGTTAATAAAGATAACTTTTGAATGGTAGGTATGAAAACTAGGAGGATATATATTGTCCAAGCATGTGGAAGTATCATGTGTTACTCTAGTTGGTTCAGAAATTGTAGTTTTCATATTATATGAATCAAGTGAATTATTCACTAAGTTTTTGTTCTTGATATTATTAGCACTATTCAACATATCTACATTGAAATCTCCAGCAACCAATACACATTTGTCGTCACCATGGGTGGCTTTTTCTAAGAGTAAATCCAGTTTTTCAATGAATACAGAAATACTGGTTGATGGAGGTTTGTAAACTACACATACTACATAATGTATACTCTGAATTTTCACTTCAATACCAATATACTCAAATACATACTCCTCACTAAAAGAATTAATATCAGATCTAACAATAGCATTTAGTGAATTTTAAATATAAAGCAACTCCACCATGTGCTCCAATTGATTTGCGACAGAAAGATGATAGCAGTTTATAATTTTCTAATTGATAAGCCTCTAAACTATGAGTTGTTTGCCAGTACTCAGTAATAGCCACAAATTGTGTATCAAGCTCAGAGGTAATCACATTCAGATTATTAATACAGTTAGATATTCCTTGTACGTTTTGATGATACAGACGGATTGACATATTGTCACTTGTGATTGTCCTTAATAGCATAAATAATTCGTATACTGGGTTATTCACAGCAATCAAAATTGTTTTTGCAAAGGTGAATGACAGGTACAACCTTGTACATATATATCAGGACATGTTGCCTTGAATTTTGCTTGCACAGCTTTTAGAGCTCCCATCATTGTACTAGAATTATCATCAGCAAATCCAATGACATTTTCTATGGGTACATCACTTTCATTGAGTAGATTTGTAATTGAAGAGAAAATATCTTCAGCTTTAGATGATCTCATCTGGATCAAATCAAGAAATTTATCAGATACTTCACCATACTTCCAATATCTCACAATGATTACTAGTGATTTTACTCTGCTAACAACTGTGGTCTCATCTACTATGATGGTGAACATGCTTTGTTTAATGTCATTTATTATTTCCTGTTTGAATGCTGGGGCCAAAAATCCCACAACCAATTTGGTTGCCTTTTGCCTCTTGAGGAGAGCTGAGCTGACAATTTTTGAATCTGGATAAATATTTTTATTCAATAAGAGGAGACTATCCATCAGCAAAAATGAGAAATTATGCTCACACACATAGCAACACATGCGAAATTCAGCTTCTCTTACAAAAAAAAAAAAAATTAATTTCTCTTATGACTCATGTTGTTTGCATAGCGTTTGTGATGAAATGTCCCACCATGTAATTTTACCTTACATAGATTACAATAGGGGTATTCTTTGGTTGGATCAAGCCAAGTGTAATCTTTCAAAAGACCCTTAAGAATTGGAATATATTTCTTTCTTTCCTTTTGTACAGCAGCTGATTCTGGATCATTTCCCAAATTTTCAGGAAGGTGGCTTACATCCAATTGGCTTTCTTATTCAACTAGTGTCTCGAGTTGTGTCTCTATACTTTCTTCATATTCCCTTATTTCAGATGATGTAAGTTGACCAGAAGAGGAGGCCAAACTTGAAGATGCTTCTGGTGATTTGAATTTTATCAAAAATCTGAATGAAAGAAAATTCGAATGATTTCTGTCTAGTTGATCAATAATTTAAACCTGTGATAGAATAATAATTGATACAAACATTTCCATTGTAAGAAAAAGAAAAAATAATATAAAATATTTAAAATCATACCGAGGGGTGATCCACTGGGTTGAAAAATGTACGGGTATTGCCAAATCGGCAATACTTTAGGAAATATTGCCTATATTTCCAGTATTTCCTGTTATTGCTGGCAATAAAACCAGTATTGCTCGTATTTCCAGTCTATTGCCTATATTCCCTATGATTCCTAGAATATTGCTTTTATGCCTGACTATTGCTTGTATTTCCTGAATATTTCCTGTATTTCCTGAACATTTCCTGTATTTCCTATAGATAATTTCTGTATTCCCAGAATTATTCTGAAGGGATCATCTACTTTGAACACTAAGAAAATGTGAAGAAAGAAACATTATTGTTCCATACAATTTTTTCAAGGTTTTTCGCTCATTATCTCTGAATTTATTAGAAGAATTATACTCTTCAAATTTGGAAAGAAGAATAATATAAGTAGTCATAAAACTGCAAATCGATGAATAAATTTGTTTCTGTGATCAACCAGCACAATCAAAAGAAATGAGAATATAGTTGGTCTGACAGTTAGGTATTTGAAATGATGTACAGGGTGTCTCAAACTGAACGCGTTCTCATGGGAACACCGGAACACCCCTTATTAAAGGAGATAACAAAAAGTTAATCAAGTTGCCCAGAGCACAAATTAAATGAGAATTTCGCCGATTTATTTAATGCCCCATGACTTTCTTATTAATGAAGATAATTAATTTTGGTAAAACCTTTATTTGCGCCAGTGGTTTTCTCACCAAATTTGAGCGCCGACTATCTTATTTTCGAAAATTCTTCATCACAATGACACCTTATTTGTATAAAAATGTATCGAAAATAATTACAATATGAAGACAAATATCGAAGTTGAAATCTGTACGTTTTGGGAACGGTTGTCAACATGAAATGTATTGAATAGAAAGTGAAAAATATATTCTTTATGCAATTAACACATGGAATATTCAAAAATAAAATGAAAATGTTCCTGAATAAAAAAGGTAAACAGATCAACCTAATTATCGTATATGTGGATTCCAATATTTGTAGAAATAAATGTTCTTTTCCATATACAATATTATCACTCTGACTGAACAGTTTTCCTAAAATCCCTATATATTTTTTTGATGGCAACTTCAGTTGTTCGATTCAGCTGAAAAGGTCCAATCCCATTCAAATCTATTGGACCATATATAACAAAATTCGTTTCTATATCTTGAATGTCATCTTTTTTCGGCCAAATATAGGCTTCTAAATTTTTTTGAAGGAACTTCACAGTGCACCAATTGCTGTCATTGAATATTTTTAATATTCTACCAAGGTAGAATTGATTGTCGTAGTATACGGCATAATACTTTTCTTCGGTCAACACTACTCTGTCGGGTGAACTACGAGTTTCATCAGCGGCTCGATCAGCGGTCAATTCTTCGAAACTTTCATTTTCGAATTCGCTTTCGCTTTCAAAATCGAAACTGGTGTCAGTCTCGGTGTCAGTAGCATCAGTATCAGTTTTGGTCGAGGTTCTCTTTTTAATATTCTTAGTACTCAGCGATTTTTTTGATTGTTTTTGATCTATTGTATTTTTCGGAATAATTTTCTTCTTCTGTTTTCGTTTCATTTTATCTTTGGGAGTGGCGAGGGGATTAGATGACGTGGATGAGCCTGTTCCTCTGACCCTATAAATTCTATCACTTGAAAGACGTGATTGTTTATTTGAGAACAACCAACACAAACTTGACTTCCTGACAACCAATTCCTTCCCATTTTTCAGAATAACTTTCAGAAAAGATGAATCAATCTTCGGGTCATGAACTGTTTGGCTGAAGTCCTTAAGATCTAAAGTTTCGAATTCAGGTAGTTCATGCGTATCTAACAAATCTCTATTGTATTCTGAATCGGATAATTCCTCTTCTATTCCATTCATCGATATGGTTCCATTTTTGTCTTCTCCTTCTGTTGAATAACTTTCTTCTTCAACATTGGTAATTTGCACGTCCAAGCTTGTTCCTCTCGAATGCTCTTTCAAAATTACACCTAAGCTGTCAGCGTCCTTTTCCGCCTGAGAATGCGCTTCCTTCAAACACTCTAAAATTTCTTCATTGGTTATTGATTTTATTACATCCTCACAGGTTGAAGATCCATTTGAAGAGATTTTACCAAGCTTTGAATTTTCCTCTCGAGGAAACTTAAATGTTCCATCTGAAAATTAGTGAAAGCTAAATATCGAGAATTATATGATAGGTACATGGAAAATAGCGATACATTCTGGGTTGAAGGATGAAAAGCTCGGTTCAATTAGAACTGTTATGGAAATATAGTAGTTTAAACTCATATAAATTAAAATATAGTAGTTAAAACTCACCTAAATCAGTACTTATTTCATTCACCATTTGTATTCGTTTCAATCTGCGAAACATGTCTAACAGACAAAAGTTTACGACTGTTGAGTATGTGCTGGTCATCGATCTAATCTGACGAAAAAACTTCTCGCATGGTTGACTGCTGCACAACCATGGAATAAATGGAATATTTTCTGCCTGGCATTTTTCTAATAGTAATATTATACTATGTGCATTCAATTCAATACAGGTATATGCGTTGCTTGTGATAAAATTATCTTTAAGAGGGTGAGCATTTTCAGTCAGCCATTTCCTCCATATCCTCAGAAATAAAGTGGAATACCAAATGAGATATATTCTCTTCTTTGGTTCTAAGTTTTTATCTAGGAATGCATCCAATATACTTCTTGTTAGAATCAAATATTGTCTTGTTCCAGCAGCTTCTGGGATGTCGCTCAATAAATTTGTCACTCGTGATGAAGACATTTTATCAATTGCGTCAAAATTCATTTTGTCAGTTTCTACGAAAAAATAAGGTACAATAAAATCATCTGAGATATTTTTCTAAGAGAATTTCTACTAACGATGTTAACATATTGTTCCTAAAATGCTTAATTTTTTCAATAATGATTTTTTACCGCTCCTGATAAAATAAAAAAACTACCATTGATCAGGAGTTTCTGAGGATTCATAGAGGTGTGAAAGATGATGAAATCTAATAAACCGCTAAAAATTAATATTTGAGATCATCAAATAATGTACAGGCAATCGAAAGCTATTTATCAAACGTGCATATATGGATATAAACTTAACATGAGTTAGATGTCCTTTATTTTTACTGATGAATGAGAATATGGTAATTGGAAAAAGTAATAGTATCTTTCTCAATACGTGATATTCTCATCAATAGTGGATTTTTGTATGATTCAAGAATATACACGGTGGCATTGAAATAAGTGCGAATATTTTAAACCACGAGACAGCTCGACGTATACTATCGAATGACACCAATAAAAAAATTTTAGAGATCAAAGTAAAATTTGGGGTTGACCCGAGGGTTGAACCTCTTTTTTCACCCAAAGTTCTACACTGTAGCAATTCTGACGTCACCTGTGTTCTAATTTCCGTGCGGAAGACACAATCACGCGGAGTTCAATAATTTAATTTGTTTTAAAGTGGCGTACTTGTTTTATTCTGTTTTTGTTCAATTTACGAAATGAAATTTCTCGGTAATTAGAAGAATTAGGAAAAATCTGATTCCATGGGAATATTCGATAGACTTTATAATAGCGATGTGCTGAATATATTATGTATGTACTTATTTCAAAAATTTCTCGTATTTTTAATTGAGAATATATATTGGACCATATAATTAGGTATAAAACCTGTTTCTTTCGAATAAATAAAATAAAAAGAATCACACGAAAATATCGGCAAAGTCAAAGGAATTCGATGAATTATTCTTACCATTCAAATAGCTATCGCTCAAAAGATGTTTGTCTTTTGAATATTTTTGTATGAGTATCCTGATATGCTCTGAAGAAACAAATGTGGATCCCATAGCCATCCTGTTGTTCGGCTTCAAAAACTTCGTTTTCAATTTTGTTCCGATATGTACAGTATCTTGGATTAAAACAGGTCCTTTTACTCCATAGGCCATCTAAAGATCAGATACTCAGGTAATTGCGATGATGATATAGATCATGATAGATCACACATCGAGAATATTCCTGGATATACAGTCACAAAATAGAACACTATCGATTTTTTTAGTTACTATTTGTATGGTGTATATTCCGAAGGAAATCCGAAGTATATTCTTGAATTCTGGTTGAGTTTTCAATTTAGAAATTCTAAGACTATACCTTATAATTAGGTCAGCTAAATTGTTGGTCAAGAAAGGTATGTAGGTATAAAGTATTTTTTGAGGGTTTTTCATTTGAACATAATAATGACATCGATTGAGCTCACCTGAAAATATGGGCTATATGGGTTCTCTTCTGAGATCTCTTTCGCTGAGGGAAGTTTTGTCCGAATTTTCATTGACTTCAAACATCTAGAGTCGCCATCACTAGAAAACCCCACTATTTCGATGTTGTATTCATGGCATAATTCTTCAATGAACTGCCATCTCTGTAGGACATTCCGGCTTGTAAATTTATTGTCACTTCCAAAAGTAGCAAGAGTGAAGGCAGGTATTCCGTCAACCATTGGCTGTGCCATGAAGACATATGCGTTAGCCACTAAATTTTCCTCAGAAAAAGCTTTTTCTATGTCTCTCGCAGAATGAACATAGAATTTGTCACATTTGGGAAACCCGGTATTTTCACAAAGAGGAGACACAAAACCGATTAATCTATTTGTTGTTGAATCATATCGAACACCTTTTATCAGAGCTGTTTGATCCTCAGATATGAAAACTTTCAATGGGCATTTTCTTTTGAGTAGATATTCTTTTAACTTCTCAACTCTAACTATTCCTTCTTCTATATTCATATCTGCCTGATGTGTATCTAAATATCTGTGTAGTGTAGTTATAGATGGTAAAGATTTCTTCAAATTGTTATACAAAGTTTCATACAACAATCTACCACCAACTATGAATATATACAAACTGAATAACTTCAATTTACTCTCATATCTATTTCCTTTAGACCTTTTGTTCGAATTTAGATCGGCTGCATCTTTCAAAAAAACTAAAAAATTTGGCAATTCAGTTGAGCTGGTCACATCGGTGTTTTTCGAAATATTTCTTTCATCTATTCTGGTTTCATTCATATAGTCCAATATTCGTGAATTCAGATTTGGATTAGCATCAATTACTTCTGCCAGTTTTTTGACGAAATAATCCGTTATTTTTGTCTGATCACAGTAACTAGCTACATTAAAACTGCTTATTTTTCTCTGGTTACGAGAATGTTTTTTATCGACTTCTTGACTTATACTGGAAATGGAATGTAGAGGCTTTCGTGTGCTTGGATCCGCAGAACAGAACGCCTCATTTTCGATTCTGCGGATTCCAAAAAATGTGTCATTAACTTCTGTCACAGAATTATTTATCGGATTAGCTATAGGTTGGAGAATTCCATGATAATTATCTCTATCAGTGATTTCAGATGAATAAGAGAAAGTCTGGGAGAAGGGCGGGTTTATGCCCAGGTTTTCGACATCGGAATTAACGGTTGTATATTGTTCGTTGTTTGGATGAGAGTTATACTGAATGTTGAGTTCATTCGTTGATGGTGGAAGGGTTGAATAATGTTGTACGCTGTCAGTTGTAGTTGAATGGGTATTTCGCTCTTGCTCATACATGGTTGATTCCGAACTACACTCAATAATATCCATGACATCATTTGATTCCATTTGAGAAGAAGGTAATACAAGGTAATTCATAATACTTGTATTAGATGACGCGCGATTTTTTTGTGAACATAAATCACTTTTCTTATGAGCAGAACTCGGAGGAGGATCTTTGAAATGGGTACGAAAATGTTTATTCACATTGGAAAGTACCCATTTCCTTCCAATACCGGTATTTTTAACTGAATAACATCGTCCTCTGAAATCACATAGGCAACATTTTACTTGAGCGAAATAATTTTCCATATCAACATGCACTTCTATCCCAGGAATTTTATCTAGAATATCCTTTTTTTTTATTTTATCCATCACTGTTCCTTCACAAAATTTTGTCAAATAGGCCTGTGATAATTTTCTAACATGACTCTCTGCTTCTATTTGTTCATTAGTTTTCTCTTCGCCGCAAGTCTCTTTCTGTCGATGATTTCCTGCTACCGCTATCGTTTTTTTCTCCAAGTGAATTCTTTTATTCGGTATCTGATTATCTGGATCTTTAGCAGAGTCTTTTGATGTTTTTTCTTGATTTTCAACCTTCCTTTTTTGTTCTTTCTTCAGTTGATTCTCTCTCACTTTTTCAGCACACTGTTCTTGTAAATAGATCAGAATCTCTTTGTGTCCTTCAGGAATGCTCCACTTTGCAATATTTTCGTAATAAATACCATAAAAAGATTTAATTTCTGCATTAGTAAGCAAGTCTTTCAAATCGTCCCTTCCAAATCTTTCTAATTCTTGAATGTGCTCATATTTCAACTTTGAAATAGAAAAAATATTATCAAATCCTTTGTACATCAAGAGTTTCTTCAGGTACTCTGGGAGGGACGTTTCATACTCTTCGAGGAAATTATTTAAGAAATCCATCTTAGTGAGTTTAGGATCTTCTTCTACAAATAAAGAGAGTAGGTGGAGTATTAACATCGACATTGAATTGTTGTATATACAGGGTGGACAAGCTAAGAATGCACAGCATGTATATCTCGGTAACCTTGAGAGTTACACAGGTCGAATAGACAATTAAATGCCTATTTTTTTCTGAATGAAAATATGAGAAAACAAATTGTGCGATATGTCTTTACATTCGCAATCAAAAAAGCTATGTCATACATGATACATGGTGTAGGTACTTTGTATCGTATCATATAAAAAAACAAAGTTGATGATGATTCTTCGAAACGAAGCGTTGTATGGAGGTATGTAATATCTCCGGAAGTATACAACAATTTACTGAGATACAGATGCTGTGCATTCTCATCTTGTCCACCATTATAGTCATTTCTATATTATGAACAAGGAACAGGCTGTCAATTCAAAATCCACACAATTGCGTTAAGAAATACTCACAAGACTTCTTAAACTTCACACTATCTTACTATACTCACTGTAATATTTTGATTTGTACTTATAAATTTTGTGAACCCCCTTAATGGTTTTTGAAATTCTGAAATCGTTTAAAAAATATCGAAGTTACAGTAAGAAAGAAGAAATTCATCATATTCTTTCATTCTGTATAGGTACCTACTTGTACTGTAAAAATGTAAATCAAAAGTTTTTTAGGGTTGATACTGGTGGATATAATTAATAATAAATTGAATTGCACAAGGAGATGCGAAATGCACAATGTGTGTAAACACTAATTTCAAAAATACTGCACCTACCAAAATTATACATTTCTCTGAGATTTCAACACAACAAACAACATTCCGAATTATAACGGACACTAACTCATTCACTGTTCATACGATTTTTTTTATGTATTCTCAATGAGGCCTATACCGATGCCTGATGTACGTACTCCACAATGAGAAACATGATTCAACCGAAGAACGAGGAACGAGCCAGCACGGCTGGGAATCACCCAAGATATCACACACACGCCACAAAAGAAGACTTGAATCTGATGTATGAAAAATAATCAATACGTTTTTGCGGATGGATTTCCCTCGAGAATACCCTTGGAATACCATCGGAAATATCCTGTATTTGATATCGTTTCCTGAAAGTATCTTTTCTCGATCGTGAGATATTTACTTCAATACACACATCTGCCCATCACTGATGTATGGTTTGATAAATATGTTCTAATACACAGAGTGTCTCTAAAAGGTCTGTACAAAATCTTAGCTTGTTCGAAAATAAAAATATATATTTTTTAAATTTATAAACTTTATTTACCGTATTACTTTTGATATTGTAGATACCTTTTGGAGACACCCTGTATAAAAATCATGGATAATCAAAACGCAACCATTGAAATATGAATAGGGGGTTCCTTCGAAAAATGTACTTTTTCACTTGCCCTGTATGAAAATGATGAAAAGGTTCACTTACCTTCATATTGAAGATTTGAATAAAAAAATCGAATATGAGAAATCACTTACCTCCTAATTTTCAACAAATATAAAAAACCCAGACTAAATCACCATGCACGGAATGAGGATGTTCGATTCAGGCACTCACAACTTGTTAAAGAGTGATAATAAACAGAATATAGCTCAGGAAAGAGGAGGAATATTCCCATGTATTGCCGGTATTCCCTAAAAATTTCCTGTATTTCCGTCATATTGCCAGTATTTCCAATGTATTTCTTGTATTGCCAAAATATTGCGTGTATTGCCTGAATATTTCTTGTATTTCCTGATAATTGCCAGTATTTCCAGCAAAATGTACAGGTATTCCCACCAGTGGATCACCCCTCGAATCATACTTAGTAATTTGATTAGATTTTAGAGATCATTGGTATTTAATAATTTCAAATGTCACTAAATACGATTACAAAAGCTATATTCCGAATTCAACTAGTAAGTACTGTTAGTAAATTCACTGACTCGGCTAAAAATCTGTGTTCTGAAATATAAAATCAAAAATACACTTTTGAATTGACTCGGCCGTTACAAACTACGAACTCAAAAATTCTAACATTTTACTTGACGATCAACTAGACCTCAATGTGTGGAAATTTCATCGTTTGTGAAGTTTTAAAAATACAGTGCTGCAATTCGGAACATGTTTTCATGGTTTTTATCAGTAATCAGCAGCAGTTGATCAGCTGGTGAACTTTATCAGTTGTCAGGAGGTCACGAGGGAGGTCACTTGTGTATAGATTTCCGTTCATCTGAACTAGATATTATTCTCAGCGTCAATTTTTTCAATAAGAGGCATCTTCTGATATTATAGATGATATTATCAATTTGTTATTGATAGAACATCGGGAATAAATGTGACATTCCATTCCCCACTAAATTAATGACAGTTTACTGAAGTCATACTACCTGTTGACAATCAGCAATTTCAGCAGAATGTTGAGTTGAAATATTTGGAATAAATGGTATGTCAGCTCACAAGTATCTGTCACTATCAGTGATTTTTTTTTCACTTTGGATTGAAAAATCAGCAGATTCAGTACTGTGAGTTGAATTCGGAATATTGCCAAGGGCGTTCTCTTCTTCTCATTTTATTGCTGTCTGTCTCATCTTCTTCGACCCTTCAATTGGATGGCCTAAGTTAGAGAACTATCCAGCCTGTCTTCTACACTATGTGAACTCTTTCGTCATTTTTGTACACATCAATCTTCGATAGCTCAGCATTTCGTACAATTGTACAACATGGAACAACACTGTTTCTGATGGTTGGCACACTTTGTTTATTTGACCTACTCTCATGTTGCTACCGCCATCTATGTTTCTTCCGCTGAACCCAATTCTTGGCTTTCTTGGATGAACTCTGCTAACAAAAGCACTGCCAGTTTTATCCACTTCAGATTCGATGTCCAATAGCTTCGATTTATTGACGTCTGTCGTTATGGTAATGCCTGAATGTTCTATAGCCATGAACATTGGGGAGAACTTTTCAAGGCAAACCTGCAAGCAGCAATGAACCGATCCATTCCTCATTTATTGCAAAACCGGTCCCTTCGAGCTTTTTCGCGATATCCACTAATTGATTCACATAAAATCCTATGGAATCACAATTCTCGAGAATCATTGAGATCAGATTTCTCAATAAACTGATACGCCTCGTGAAACCCGAGTGGTGAAAGAGAAATTTTCTGCAGCAAAATATCAATCATCGTAGTTTTCACGGCCAAGCAGCTTCGGAATACTCGCGATGTAATTATTTGCCGTCATCTTGCACTTGAACTCATTAATTTCAACAGTAGAGGGGCTATGCCAGTTCTGGCTCAAGCCAATCAGAGACCAGCATTTGGTTGGAGGCCACGCCCACTAAAAACCAGCGCGAAATTCAAATTATTCATACGTCGTCACGTCGCCATCGTGAATAAATAAATTAAAAAAAGCTGTCACCGCTGGGGGAAATTGAACCAGGGACCTTTGCATTACGAGGCAGCGTATATACGCACTGTGGTATTCCGACCTCCGTGATATTTCAATTATTTTAATGCTATTCAAACGGGATATCCATCGCTGGCGCGCGCTTATCTTTGCAACGGATCCATCGAGGTAGAGTGAAGCGAGAGATGCATTCCAGAGATAAGAAACTTCGAGTCGAAAATAATATCCATCGCTGGCGCGCGCTTATCTTTGCAACGGATCTATCGAGGCAGAGTGAAGCGAGAGATGCATTCCAGAGATAAGAAACTTCGAGTTGAAAATAAATGAATGCGCGCATCGGTGGTCGTCTCCTCGCTGCTGTTTCGTCACACCGATGCTACAGATCCGTTTCAAAGATAAGAGAGAAGGCTCGAGCGCTCGGCGCTGCAACGTTGTCGGACGTATGTGTTTGGATGTTAATATTGTTACATTATTGTGTGTGGCAACGCTGTCTCGCTTCATGGCGTTCGAAGATCCAGCAAAGCGAGAGATCCCGTAGAATGATAAGCGCGCGCTCGTATTGGAAACGAATACTTGGATTATTTATTTATTTTAAAGTGGGTGACGTCATGCCGTTACCTTCATGGCGTTCGAAGTTCCAGCAAAGCGAGAGATCCCTTAGAATGATAAGCGCGCGCGCTCGTATTGGAAACAAATACTTGAATTAATTATTTATTTTATAGTGGGTGACGTCATGCTGTTGTTTTTTTTTCTTCTGGTAAAATGATCACGTGTGTGGGTACTCTCAAAATAGGATTTTTTATGGACAATTCGGAAATGCCAATATACCTATATGCAAAGTCCATTTTCATTTATCCAAGAAATATGCGATGAATCGAAACCCAACCACTGGACAAAGAGCTGTTTTCCCTTTCTACGGATGACTTTTGATAATGACAGATGGTGTTTGCAATATGATGTATGTGGGGAGTGGAAGGATACGAAAACAACTATATATTATAATGAATTATTTTATTTAAGTAATCCTTTTCTACAAAAATGACATGATTCTTGAGAAGATGGAGGTCCATCCCAGTGTGTGGTCCAATCGGGACGATTATAATGAACGAAGCATGGCAGTTTGATTTGTAGGTTGAAGTTGCTGCGATATTCTTGAGGAAGTTTGTGCCACACCCTTAATAGCCCATAAGGATCTGCATATTCAATGAGACATTCTACTGGAATGTACTGCAATTCTTGTTCAGTGAATTTCGTCAAAGTCAAAGCGGGAGATTTTATAAACTCCAATAGCACAGCTATTTCAGACTTCATGATTTTTCGAGCAGAGCTAAAATATTTCAGATGCTACTAGTCTCGCGTCAAGTTGTAGACTGATGAAATGAAAAAAAACTAGTCACATTTTTCACAACATTTTATTCAAATCAGACATAACCTCATTTTTACAATAATATAGATATTCTCTGAGAGCGTTACTAGACATGCTATCACAAACATCACAAAATCCAGATATAAGCTCTTCCGCACCCAAATCAGTCAGGCTATTTCTAATCCAATCGGCTATAGTATTCAAAA